TACGCTAGCATACCTGTCAAACTCCATTCCTTCCTTGAAGCATTTGGCCTCAGTCACGCGAATTCCTTTGCACGACTTGACAGGATAAATAATCAGCTCAGAAACGCGTCCCACCTCTTCGTTAGTCCGTTCCTTCTCTCCTTTTTTCTTCCACCATAGTGCTGCTAAACTAGCAAAGGTGAGCACGGGCAAACCTATCCAAAAAATATACTTCGAGTATGATGAGGGCGTTGCAGCCATTTTGGAAGTCTTGACTTAGTAACCTGGTCAGTGTCAACAAAAACAAACATGGCGCTAGAACCAAAGAAAAAAAAAGCGAAACACGAGGATTCTTATTTGTCCGTAGGCGGTACTGATTTCTTTTCCGTATATAACACATTATAATCCTCGCAAATTAGTCCTCAGTTTACACTAACTGCACTGATTTTTCGTTTTTAGAATTTAACGACAAGAAGAAAGCTGCAGTTCCACGGGCTGTCCTTGCAGACGAATTCACGCGGCAGTTTAAAACAGGTTACTTATTCACAATATATACTTTTTGAGAAACTGATATACTTTGAGAGGTGATTATAGTGTTTGTTAAGTTTTGTTCTTTTCGCGAGATGTGGCACACGTGTTTCATAAAGAATACAGGGCCGCGACATGAATTTCACCCCGCGGCCGCACGTGTTGAGGTCGGAGCGCGAACGCCTTTTTAAAGCACATTTTGAAGGTTTTTCTAGCCAAAATACAAGCTTACACATTTATTGTGTTCTTTTGTCAACTTGCAGTGGAAGTTTTCGCAGCTGACATTAAGGACAGAACTAAAACGTCAGAACTTATAAGGTAACTCAATTCAAAGCTTGCTCGCGCGCTACAATTTTTAATCTGAAATCTAAGTAACCAAAAGTCGTGCCTGTTTATCTGAGTTTTTTTTCTTTGACGAACCAGATTGAAAATTTTTATTCTACTTTTTCTTTTTACAGAAGTCTTAATGATAAATTCCCACTTGCAGGATTGGAGCATTTAAAGAGGGTCCGAAGCATTAAACATGGAAAAGGTTAGTCTCAGCTCTTTGTTTAGGCACAGAGAACGACGTCACTAGAAGGTAGAACAATAAGCTTACAGAGTGCGAATGAAAAGACTGATCGTTCTTTTTTTACTTCAGCAAAAGTACGTGCTATATTCGCGTGGAGTGCTACTTGTTCTTGTTTTTATTCTCCCCTTTTTCGTCATCTGGATTAATTAACATACTCAAAAGTAGTCAGTATAACAAATTTCAATGGATGGGTATGTGATCTCCCATATGGTCTAGCGGTTAGGATTCCTGGTTTTCACCCAGGCGGCCCGGGTTCGACTCCCGGTATGGGAACACAAAATTTTTTTAAAAAATTTTTTAAATTCTGCTTTTGTCTTACTTATGAAACAATTTGTATTTTTTTTGCCATCTTCATTTTCAGATGCCATAATTCAAATTATTTTGTGCCCAAAGAAGAAACAATGTGTGGACTTCACCAGTTCTTTGAAGGATATTTTGCAACAAAACAGAATTGACTCTGAGCTTCTTGGTGAACCTTTTGTGACAAATGTGGCAAAGCATTCACCACTTACCAGGGAACAGTTCAGTGAGGCCTCCTCCTGCTGGCCAGTCAATTTTCATGAGGATAAATAGTATGTGGAGAGAGGGAGAGAGTTGGGTTTGTGGAGACGTGGGGTGGGGTGGGGAACCATCCTCTTTTTGCTTATAATTTTCATGGGGATGTAGCATACTGGAAAAGATATATTTTTGGATTCTATCCTGAAAAGGGAATATATTTTTTGGGAGTTTTAACTAAATTTTTTAGTCAACTGAAAAAAAAAATGTGAAAAAATAATATTTATGGCGTTCACAGTTTCCTGAGTTTCATGGTGATCTGATGTCAAAAACATTTTCTTTGTGGAGATTCCTCTAATGGCCTCTCAGTGGGCCATTAAATCAATTTTTTTTTCTTCACTATTTTAAATTATTTTTAGTGTGATGCTAACTGTTTTGATTCATGACTATTTCCAAGTATTTCAAGAGTGTTGAGAGGAGAACTGTTTGATGATGGTGAACTTCAGCTTATCACAAAGTTTATGAGATTAGCAATACAAATAGCTGCAACAAATATGACCTCCCAAAAGGTAAAATTTTTTAACTTTATGTGTAGCTTGGTACATTGGAGGAAAACGGTTGTTCTATCTTTGAAAGAGACAAAGTACTTTCTCATGTTGTTGGCATTTTTGTGATGCTGATAATTCTTTTGTTTATCCATCTTGTTTAATTTTAGTTTCCTATTGGTGCAGTGATTGTCGATCCACAGACAAACCACGCTATAGCCATGTCTTATGACCTCCGTTACACAGGCCACCCACTCCAGCATTCTGTCATGGTCTGCATTGATTTAGTGGCTCATAATCAGTTGTCAGGGGCTTGGCAACTTGACTGCGAAGCAGTGAATGGTACATGGACAATGAGTGAAAGAATTCCACAGCTGCAGGAACATTTAAATTTTTCTCACCACAACAAACATTCTTTGGACTCTAAGCCATCAGAAACAGGAGAAAGATCATTAAATGTGATGGAACCTTCTGATCTGGCAACAAACAAGGACCAAATCTGCAAATCAACTCCTTATTTGTGCACTGGATATGACCTTTATGTTACAAGGGAGCCTTGTGTTATGTAAGTATCAGTACATATTGTTAAGTGACACTTCCCCCAAAGTGTGAAGCAGCTCTCTCTTAACTCAGTGTTAGCACTAAATTCAAGGTTGGGTTAGGGGCGGGAAGGGGTAGGTGAGCATTTTCCCAGAATATTTTGTAGAAATCCGAAAATGTGATCACCAAAGGAAAAAATGTGTTACCTTTTATTTGTATGTAGATAAGATTGGGGCTTAAATTGTGTTAAAATATACTGTAAAATTCCGAAAATAAGCCCTGACGCTTATATTTTTCAAAGGCCCTTTTTGAGGGGCTTATTTTTGGAGGGGCTTATCTACAAAGGGAAATTTGCGTTTCAAAATCGATTGGGCTCGCCTTATAGTTGAAAGTAAATTTACCGTTTTTGCCTTGTTTTACTTTGTATTTGAGGGCAATTTTCCAAGTACAAGCCCCGGGGGGCTTATATTTTGAGGGGCGATTTAACAGAGGGTTTTTTGGGTTACCCGTTTGGGGGGCTTATATTTGGAGGGGCTTACATGGAGGGGCTTATTTCGGGATTTTACGGTATATAGCACATTCTCAAACAGACCCATCATAACTTCATCATATGTTAACTTGTTTCAGGTGTGCAATGGCCTTAGTCCATTCAAGAATCAGGCGTGTGTTCTATGGATGTAGTGACAATGTGTTAGGTGCCTTGGGGAGTAGATATAAGATTCACACCCAGACTGGACTAAATCATCATTTTGAAGTGTTTTCTGGCGTTTTAGAGGAAGAATGCAGAAGCATTTTCGAACAATCATTTGCATATGACTTATGTTGATTTATTTCGACAATGATAATGTCAAACTGCCCCATTTTTCTGTACGCTGAAAGTTATAGTGCAACACAACCACTGCAAAATAATAATCTTTATTTTAATTTTAATTTAGCCAGAAGGTACACCCCCAAAGTAGCCACATACCACCCACGAGGGTCATGATTTAAGGAATCCATCAATAATTGATGGATGAAGAATTATTCTTCAACGTCAACTTCAACTCAGGGTATTATATTTCAATTAGTCTTCAGTCCTGTCACCCCATCCCCTTTTCCCTGAATCCTATGATCCTGATTGTCATGTGATTGTTATTTTCAGTGTCGTGCTTCTTATTTTTTCTTTCAATCCTAAATCTTGCCCCCATTTTGCTTAAAATTCTGAATCCCAGCCTTCAAATAAGGCAAATGCCGCATCTCGAAAAACCTTTTGGAGACCATCACTTTAATACCTGAAGCTACCTGTCCAAAACTGCTCTTGTACTTTGCTCTACAGTTAGTTAAAGTATGGCTGCAGAGACTGGTCATATGCACGTTTTTAAAAGTGCTAGCAGATTCCTCATCGCTTTTAGTAGAAAATCAAACCAGAAAAAATATATATACGTAAAAAGTTTTTTACGGCAGTATTTTACGCTTCCTTGGTCTCAGCCCTATAAAATGGTATTTTTCTAGAAAACGTACCTCTCATGAAAACGTGACTTCACGTGAGGTTGAAGCTGTGTCAAATTTTTAGAAACTAGAAGTTCATTTAGCTCGCCAAGTGGGCTAAAATTATCAACTGTGGATGATTAATTTTTTGTTCTCAAATCAACCATCTTCAAGAAAGCCTGTGGCCAAGTCTTTTGTAACTTCAGTAGAGAATGAATTATTCATTGCGTGATTTTGGGACCGGACAAAAGATTTATTGAAAAATATTTGACAACTTGATGACGTCATACATTCCAAGTCATCGAGGATCGGGGGCAGCAGTCTAACATTATTACACGGTAAATTTACTGCTTTCAAATATATAAGTTCACAGATCTGCCTATTAATGTTCGAGGACAAAAATAACACGTTCTAAATTTGTTGAAGGAAATCTGCAGAGTAATTTTAGCATCCATTGTTTAGTTATTTCACTAAAAAGGCCAAAATAGAAATGGACAGGAATTGCGTGTTAACATTGTTGGTTGCCATGATTGTGGCTTTAATGGATCCTGTGTGGATATTACGGGCAAATGCTGCTCCTATGAATAATGGAACTGCAAATGCGACGAGCACTGTTTTATCCGACAACGCAACGGCAAGCAATGGGAGTTTGTCGCTGGGAAATTTTTCTGCTCCCAACATGACAGTTTCGTGCAATGAGACGGCTGTGAATTGCACGTCGAAGGTGGAAATTAACAATGCTACCATTGAGGTGAATTTAACCGATGTTTGCTTAGCAAACGGAACAAACCAACTCATCATTTGTAACGGGACTTCGTTAAATCTTACCAAACGCTGCGAGACAGTAAAAGAGGGAAACTTGACGATTGTCTGTGTAAATGCGAGCGTTAATTCTTCAGCCGGTCTTGTGGTTTCCAATGCAACGCAATCTCCCGCCACATCCAATTTTACAACTGATTACACGAATGCGACAACTACTGCGGCGAATAATGTTACAGCACCGTTTAACACGACTGGGGTATTAACTGCAACCCTAAATGCCACTTCCACGAATCAGTCTGCTACGGCTAATGGATCATCGACTCAGAATCCTAACTCGACAAGCGTTTTAAACTCCACGATTTCCACCCTGACAGAACAAGGGAACGCTTCATTTGCAAACGCAACTCAAACAACGATCACAAATTCATCTGCCAGTACTCCGGGCGCTGCACAAAGTAGCAAAATTCCTAGCACAACACAACAGTCTACGACAACCCAGATGTCAACGACGACAGTGAAATTAACAACAACGCCGCAAGATACAACTCAGAAATCGACGATAGAGAAATCTACAACGCCGAAATTGACAACAGTGGAATCAACAACCACAGAGAAATCTACAACCACCCCAACTACAGAGAAATCTTCAACGCCGAAAGCAACAACCTCGGAATCTACAACAAAGCAGACCTCTCAAACGCCGGAATCAACAACCAAAGAGTCGACAACCATCAGTACTACAGGTACTACAAAGGAATCGGTTGTTCCTCCAAGCATGAAAGAAACTACAAAAGAAAGTACAACCGAAACGACCACTAAAAGTACAACTGTTAAAACTGTGGAAACAACCACAACTCTAACAGAGCAGGAAAAATCATCACAACCCACAAATACACAGCACTCAAGTGAGTTGAAATTTATTTTTACTCCCAAGTTTGAGAATGTGAAGAAAAGTAATGAGAAGAAAATAAAGAATTACCCATGAAAAAATAAGGATGGGAGATACCAATATCCCAGTTTTCAAATGTCCCATGTCCAGAGGATTACATATTTAAAGATTATTGCGCCAAGGATAAAATCATTATTTATTGCCCAATGCAATATACATGCAACAGACCAAAAATTGAGGGACAGCTAACAACTGCTTTAGCAGTGCCTGATGTTCCCACAGTGACTAAGTTTCCCTTTTGGTGCAAGGAAATCTTAGTCTTTTGCACACAACCTTTACACACTGGGCACCCTTAAGATTCCGAGGGTGTCAGCCATTGGGCTCCTCATAATTCTTATTTGAGCACAAGCTTGCTATATCATTTACAACAATGAATGATATTATAGTGATATTTATAGCTAACACAAATAACTCCCTGCTAATGGATTGGAAATGAAATATTAAGTAATATTAATTTTCTTTTGTTTTAACTTTTCAGTGCCATCACCCATGGATGACGAAAAGGTAATGATAAACTTTGTAACAATCTTTTCTTCAAATATGAAAACCCCTGAGATAGAAGACTGGAAACTCTATATTGGCTCCAGTATAGGTTTATAGGATATTATTTTCATGTCTCACGCTACTGATGTTTCACTACATAGAATGCAGACATAGATTGAAAGCCGACTGTTTGGTTTACGAGCTTAGCAGAATTATGGAGAGTTGTACTGGGTACATTTATTATTGTTTCATGTAAAAAGCTTGATGTTGGTTTTTTATGCTGTCACAACATAATATTATTAGATGTTGCGTCCACTGACTATAGAGCATTAAGGCATTCAAAATATCATAATACATGTATCTAAGGCAATGTTAAAAAAAGACTTTTATCATTTTGGTGAAAAGCCTACTGGGCTGCTGTAAGCTACTAGTACTGATGAAAAAAAAACATCCTTTCAGCTTCCATGCACCTGTTTCTCCATTCACACACCAAAAATCCACTAAACAGCTGGAAGTAATATCAACAATAACAGACACTGCACATTAACATACATATACTTCATTCATCAGGGGGAGGGGTGTTGCAAAGAATACTGGCCTCCAAATCTACTGTTTGTACTCCCCAAATTCCACATCCCTGGCAGTTTATGCAACCCAATATCCTCAAAGCCAGGTGCATTTTTGTCTAAAAAATAAAATGATATCCCAATTCGAGCCACAAGCAGTAGAGGGGANTCAAGCCTTAATGCTGATAATTTGGTTTTTATTGCACTGAAATGCTCAGTGGAGTGACAGTGAACTAGCCACTGACAACAACATGTTTTTGCACTCTCTGGTACTCTTTCATGCCTTCTCCAGACAAGAGTGAGCTTACGCAACAGGATGGGAGAAGAAAGAAGACGGCAAACTTTGTGTGACAAGTGTGACAATAATTTTGTTTGAAAAACTTTTCCGCCGAACTTCACCTTCCTTTAAACAGGTCATTTTGTAAAAGGCCAGAGAACATAAACTTGAGTGAAGATCACCACAAAACAGTAATAGGTCTGTCACATTTGTCACACACAAGCGTTTTGCTGTCCTCTTCTTTCTGCAGTCCTGTTGCGTAAATTCACTAATCTCTCTCTGATTATCTTTATGTCATGACCAAAATGAGGTACCTAGGTTGTGGAACGGAGACATAATATTTAGAGAGAGAAACACTTGACAATTACAAACAGAACTTATAAACTTATTGTCCTCAACATCAGCACAGACTGTTAGTTACATGTACACAGACAGACTATTGGTCTCAGACAGATAAATCAGATAAATAAACAGTTATACATGTACAATCAGACTATTCTTCTTCCAAATTGAACACTGCCCCTTTAACCATTAAGATATTATCTGTCTGAGAAAGGATTATCTGACAGATAACCAGTCTGAGGTGGATAATAATTATTTGTGTTCCCAGTCATCAGAAATTATCAGATTGACCCAATCTAAATATGATATTCGATTATTGTGGGAAAAATCTCTTTATAACAAGAATTCCATCATTTATATTATTTTCACCCATGTGCTTGTTAAAATAAAAGGAGGCCGCACCTGTGGGTGCCCTATGTTGCGTGTCAGAACTTCATCACCTTGCTCTTCTTGTTGAAAATTAAATTTCTATAATACTATTGCCATGATTTATTAGTGCTGTTACTTATTTTATGTCTCGTCACTTGTCCCAAATTACTCTGGGAATGCCTCTTACAGTGACTTTTTAGAAATAGTTGTGGTGACTCCTGGGACTCATCTTGTGAAAAATCAAAAGTCCTACTCCTGAACCATTGATTCTCAGTTCAAAAAACGAGTTCTAAATTAAAAAAGCTTGGGTCTTTATGTAACCAGGAAGTCACTGAATCTAAAGACAGACTCCAAAACCCTTTTCACAGTTTACTGCTCAAAATTAAAATATATTCCTTTTATTTAAACAACCAAAATAAGGGGACTAAAATAAATTATGCATTGTTAAAACATCCACAGAAATCACACAAACAGGCTTTTGTACAAAAACGTCTTCAGCTTGATCGATCTTTGCATCCTTCGGCACGCATCCATTAAATTATCTTGCGTCTTTGGTAATTTTTATGCATCAGGGACGCAGCACACAGAGGTAACAAAATCACTGTGTTTAGATGTTGATCAATACTGTCAGTTTTAAATTCTTTCTTTATATTTTTATTTTTTTAGGCTTCTGGAGAGTTGGACATGGATAAGTTAAATCTGTTGTCACATTCCAGTGATGAAGAATAATGCATTCGTATTCTAATGCAAGGACTTAAAACGGTTTTTTTCATTATTTCAGCTCTCATTTTCTGTATAACAGAAAGAGAGAGACCCAAGCACCACAATGAATGTGTGGCCGACTTAAAAACCATTCATATGGCAATTCATCAATGGTCGTTTCACATGGTACTATTTATTTTGCTGTAAAAAGAAGTTTGTCCTTTGAGTGTGAAAAGATAGACTTCCTTGGAATACTTTAACTGTCTTTGTCTAGCTACAACTGGGTGTAAGATGTCCAATCAGCTTGTCAAGGCAAGGATTATTGCACAGACTGTTACAATCGTGAAGAGACAATTGGGATGTTTTGACTGGCCTTTTGACTGGTGTTTGTGGTTTTTCATTATTGCCCTAGCTCACAGGCAAATATTTGTAATAAATATGATAAATTTGGCAGTCTATTTTTAACATTCTTTTATTGTATTTTAAAGGAATAATGTATTACATTCAAATTTTGTAAGGAGGTCATTGAACAATTTCGTGATAACTTCTAAATAATAATTATGAGGTGCAGTTTTCCAAGGCTTTTGACAAAATTTGTTGCAGACTACAAGTCTTAAGTTGACCTTGCAGTGGAAATTACCCCTTTCTTTCTTGGAGAGAGTTTAAACTACTAATGATAATAATTATCAAAAATAGTACAGTAGGACTAAGGGTTTGTCATACTGGGACAGGAAAAGATTAGTTTTTTGTATCCGCTGGCTAACAGAGCATAAAGTGAGAAAACAATTAAAAATCTAGCCCTGTTCTAATTTTAATTTATAAGTTTATCGACATTTTTGCCTTCTCAATAAATAAATAAA